TAGGGAACAGTTTTGTTGCTTCTTGTTGTTTATTCCTAGTTTGTTGAACTAGCGCGTTTTTACTTCTTACAGAGGGGGAACATGTTTTGTATCCAAAACCTATTTTTTCCCAGCGTAGTTTGCCGAGCTACAACCTAATAAAGCCCCAACAATCCACTTTCAAGGCCGCCAGGCCTCAAATCCTAGTTCGGCGAACTAGGCCCGAAAACGATTTTGCCAGGAAAGACCCAGTCAGGTTGGGTGTGAAAGGGAAAACAACCAAACCATTACTATTTCAAGTTCCAAGGATCTTTTTCGTCCACAAGCTCTGGCTGAATGCGCCGTCTCTGAGAGGCTTTGGGGCTTGGGAACATTCTTGGCCGAATGCGGTCCGTAGGTGTTGTTGGGCACTCATCATGGCCATGGCTAAAGGGCCGCTTCATGGGGCACAACTAAAAGAACTTCAAAACTTCCTGACCTCGAAATTGGGCAGTGTTTTTTTAGTGGTGTGGAGAGTGAGCAGGTGAGGCATGACTTCTTAGTTTTCTTTTGCAAACTCGAGCCCGAAAACTCAAGCAAAACTCAAACTGACTGACATCCTCTTGCCCCATGCAAATCCAGTCCTAGATCCAGTACCCTGCCCACGCCCGCCCGCGCCTCCAAAATCTCTGCCAGGACTGTGAAGTCGATGAAGTGTGTGTGTGTGTGTTTTGCGTGTGTGTGTGTGATGTTAGTATGACCATAACATACCATAACTATAACTTAAGTTCAGCTTGCTCGTTAATTTCAGGGTGACGTCGGTGACGTCGTTTTAATTTGCCTAGTTCAATAGCTAGAAGCCATGCTTTCTGAATAAGTACACCAAATTACCTCAAACAAGTAGAGTGACTTGCATCTATGTTCTTTCCGTTTTGTGGTCGTTAAAAGGAAATACTTTGCTGTTTAATATCGAGGTGGTTGAATAGGTCTAAATAGGTTATGATTCAATATTTGTGTTAAAGATGTTGATTGAATTTGGATATTTGTTGGAGAATTGTTGTCTTTTAGATTCTTTTTGATACTTAGCAAATTATATAGTTGAACTAGTCTTATGAGTGTTGTAGCAAAAGCATCCCTAAAGGCTCTCCATCCTGTGTGTCTACATAAATTAACATGCATGTACTATATAGATGTCATGTCGTGTAAAGATATGTATTTTTGTTCAGCTATTTAAAAGTACTCCCATATTTGTTTAGGGCTGGTATTTTTGACTGTTTTCGCTGTGTTATCGTTTTTCTGCTGTGGTTGTTTAATTCTCGTACTCCACTGGTGGCAGGCGCAGTCCTCTGGGAAGTTCTAAAAGGGTTTTGTAAGCTGACTTACTCTCAACAGCGTGATTGTTTCGCTAAAGCAAGGAGAACTCAGGTAGCTCAAGCTACCTTTCGTGAATGGTTTCTTCCCACTCTAGATTTTACCCTCGGGTTGCACAGAAAAGGGATGCTACGTTGCAACGACTTCTTTCTAATTACTCTATATTTTTAGCTCCACTGGCCCGCAAAAGGGATGCTACGTTGCAATGGCTTCTTCCTACCCCGGTGGCCCACAAAAGGGATGCTGCCTTGGACTGGCATCTTCCAGAGTGTCCACATTTATGCTGGTGGTTAGTAGCATGCACTCTTGTCAACTTTGTGGAAAGATGTCATTGGCAGCTGGTCGGCATCAGTGGCAAATGCCTGGTGGCCCCTAGCATCCACCGTTGTGGGGCTGTGCAAATGTAGGAGGAGGATTGGCAACTAGGTAGTGGTGGTAGTAGTAGTAGTAGCAGTAGCAGTAGCAGTGGTAGTGGTAGTGGTAGTAGTAGTAGTAGTAGAAGTAGAAGTAGTAGTAGGGGTAGGGCACAGCGCTTTTACTAAGCGAAGGAAGAAGATAGTAGTAGTGGTGTTGTGGTAACTGTGGTAAGACTGGTAGTGGGGTTGTCGGAATGATGGAGGTACTGGTAATACCAGGGGTAGTGGTAACTGTTAAAAAGCGGGAGGGGGTGCGGGGGATGGTGCAGCGCCTCTCCCGCGATGCAAATCACGTATAAACAGCGCTGGGTGGTTTGTTTCTTTTGTTTTCTTGTTGATCATATTTTTTTGTTGATCCTGTTATTTTTTTGATCCTGATGCCCACACAGAAAAGCCGGAAAAGCCCGAAAAGCAGTACGAAGCAAGGAAAAGCAACACACGCACAGAAAAGCAGGAAAAGCAAAGAAGCAGTGAGAAGCAAGGAAAAGCGACACACGCACAGAAAAGCAGGAAAAGTAAGAGAAGCAGTGGCAAGGAAAAAACACAAACACACAAAATAATTTAAATACACCTCCTGTTTAGCGCCATATTTGAAGGTATTTGAGGGCGCTTCTTTCGAGTCCAACTTTTAAACTATGGTTATTCAGAGTCATTCAGAATGCCTCAACGGTTTATTTCGATGGTCAAAGCAATCAGGGTTACGGGTGGTCTTGTCTTTACGGAGAAGAACAAATCTCTCGACATGGTTTTCTTTTCTTCGGTCTTTGGAGAATCGAACAGCGGTGGATGATGCGGGGGCTCGGTTTCAAAAGCCCCAGTGGGGTTTGTTGTTTAAAAGGGTATTTTGTGGCCCAATGGATTTCGTCGGTTATTGATTTTCCCGGAGGTCTTCCAAAAAAGTCTCCCTATCCGAATACACACCACACAGTGAGGTCCGTGTACACCAAATCCCAACCCGTTCAGGTTCAAATGCTTCTCCTGGTCGTCACCGAAGGTCTTCGTCCGTTGCATGTAGACCCAGGCCTCACTGGATCATGTCGTTCTGAACGGCCCAGTTTTCAGACTTCGTGTCAAGACATGTACATTCGTTACATTGGGGTGACACAGTGAGGGGATCAATGGGGTTGAGAAGGGGATCAATGGGGTTGCAATAGATCATACATGAAGCATCTGGCTTTGATGGGCAGGGTGTATACGCGTGTAGTGAGTGACTCATCACAAAACCACAGCGCCACTCGCAGGACCGCCCCATGTCCGACGCGATGTCGGACGCCCTTCCCCGACCGCTTCGACTGTGACGTTCACCTTTTGAGACTCCGGTCCCGACGACGGACCTGGGACGACGGGCGGCGTTGGATCGAAGTGCCCCGTCCCGACCGGACAAAACAAAGGCGGTTTTGGGTGTGAAACACAGGGCTCCACTCCACTTGTCCACTGAGCTTCGGAGGTTCACTAGGGGTTACAAAACCGCGCACATACTCCATGCACATATCACTTAAAACATATACAATTCTCTATATATATATATACCCTCAAAGTCGACGACCATTTTTAAAATGGTCTAGCTCACCTCGCCCATTTTAATCCTTGAACGTACATTTCCTCCAGATTGCCTCCCGGAGCTTGTCCCCACAACGGCGTGCTCAACGCAAAGGAATTTGGGATCAAGCACATATGTTTATGTTTCGGTGCCCTCAAGACCAACATTGGCTGGTACAAAGGAAATCTTGAAATAGACAAACATAACAACAACTGAGAACATGCTTTCAGGCAGGAGGTTGAAAGAACTTTGACGGCAACCCACCATCGTCTGGAAGATACTTTGGAACATTTTGGAGCAACCTTCAAATTTCGATCTGTTTGCGTGCAATGACCAGTGGGGTCAGCTGGATGATGGCCCATCTTCGCTGGACAATTGGTGCCTCATCTATTCTGGCGAGAAAGCTTTACTGAATTCAAAATTGTAATTTGAAGTAATTTTTATCATCAAACTCAGGTGCATGATTCACCATGAAGAGATCCTTACGGAAAAGAAGCTCAGTTTGCAAGCTAGTTTGTTCGTGGCAGCCGGTGTGCAGTTCACCTTAATATACATGAGTTTCCCTGCGGCCCAGGATTCCTACGTGACTTGAAGGCTGATGGATATGAAGGTGTTCTTCAGCCTACAGATCCAGGTGCTTAGTGCTCCCGAGTGTGCACTGGTCGAGCTGCGTGGTATACCAGCATGTATGCATGTGAATGTGCTGCAGGGGCTCGGCTAGAGGATGCGCCAGCTGGGTCAGGGTGATGGAGTCATGACTCAATAACCTCCCTCCCTCCCTCCACCCCTAAACACTTCTCCAATTGTTTTCACTCCAGTGCGAGTCCACTGCAGCAATGGCGACTCGTGAAGCCAGGATCGGCCTCCTGAAGGAGCATAGATGGTAGGGTGTCCAGTGTATATGGGGTAGACCACAGTGATTTGCAAACACCTGCCAAATTTATTTCATGATTGAACAAGTCTAGCAATTAAATTGGCAGGACTTCTACACCGAGATTGTATCCCAAACGCCGACTTGGATCGAAGATCGCAGGAAACTTCTTCGCACCCGCCATGAAACAAAAAAGGAACCTTGTTTCCAAGTGAATGCAATTCCGGTTTTGTTTTTGAAGTTCTCGTTTTTGGCCAATGCGAGTGCACCTGATGCTTTAGTCAGGTCTTGAACTTATCCACCAAGGCACCATTTGAGTTTGTCAGCCGCTTCTGCAAGGAGGACTCCATTAGAGAACATGAAGTGCGGATACCCGTTTACCGACGACCCATATAAGACAAACTGTTGCAGGGGCATGCATGCACACATATGTGGTGAGTGGCATGCACATGCTGAAAAAAAGGTGGAGCAAGAAGAGAATGCGGAATTTCTTCTGGAGTTCATGGCTTCATTTGCGGACGCGCTACCGAACGAACTGGAGCTTCAGGACTGGTTTTAAAAACGCGTTGCGTGCAAGCAACCTACAATGCACACATCAGCTGGCACTAATCGTGTATCCAGGAGGTCCTTGTTTGGGCTTCGGAACGCTTTGGCCTAAATCCTCACCTCAAAAACCGAAGAGAACATGTTGCAAACGGACTGCACCGTACATATTACTGTAGATCAGTTTGCATGATTGCGTCTTTTTTGCTCGTCGGATTTCCAAATTGACCCCACATATTATGGTGTGTGTGTGCACTAGTGAAGTACGGCGTAGCCAAGGCATGGGCATCTGAAGAGCAAGGAGTTCAAAGAGCGTTTGCAGCATATATAATGACAAGATTCCAACGCAATCCTTCGGCGAGGTTTGGAGCCTAGTGCTTATTAAGATCGGAAGATTGTTTGTGTAAACCCATATCATATGTCGACCATGTCATGACCTCTTAGCTCCTGAGACCGGGACATCCAGAGATGGACAAATTGAAAGCCGTGGTCAGAGCCAAACTTGAGGCCAAACGTGGCAAAGCCAATGCATGTGCACGCATGTATGCACCATGGGCCAGAATTCAACTAAAAGTCTCGAGGCCAGCAATTTGCTTACAGACTCTGGGAAGAAGAAAGCGAGTCGGGGACGGTCTGCCTCTTCACAGGAGCAAAATATGGGCATGCCTGCAAATCATCCAATCTAGAATTTGCGCGCCAGTCGTCTGCGCAGGAGTTGGGCACTCCATCACCTACTGCAGTGGAAAGAGAAGGTGGGCACTGGGCTGTCGATTGACCGCAGTGTTTTTGATAGCGCATACATATAATATATCTTTTTTGGGCAGGCCAAGTGGCAGCAGATCAATCGCGTGAATCTGCAAAGGCTTCTGTTGCTGCCTTACCGTCTATTCTGAAACAGAAAACTTTGGTTCTTGGTGAGACTGAAAACAATGAGCTCAAGGAAGACCGTTGCGGGGATGAGGCGGGAGAGGGCTGGGGAGAAGAAGAAGAGAAGGTTGTTGATGAGGTGGTGGAAGTAGAAGAAGAGGGAGAAGATGGGGAGCGGCCCAAAACGACTAGTGAGCTCTTTGAAGACAGCCAAGTGCCCTTCTCGCAAGAAGAAATCCATAGTGACAATGACGATCGTGGAACCTTCAAGGCGACATGACTGCTTGTGTTTGCAATTGCAAAATATATGTGAGCTTTAATTTGCTGTGTTTGCAACCAGTTCAACTTGCGCGCACACGCACATGCATGTGACAGAGGACGACCAGGCCACTGCTGGTCGCGGTGGTAAGAAGAAGCTGCCCGAGCTGGAAAAAGCTGTGGAGGAGCAGGCTGATGAAATTATGCAAAACATGGACATCAAAGAAGAAGATATTTTGAAGGCCTGTGCACGTGCACAAGCACATTCTATTACTATAAAATAATATGCACGGTATCTAAGTTGTCACATGCATATGATGCAGGCACAGGCAAAGATTCGCCAGACCATGAAGGAGACAACTGAAGTCGAAGACCTGGACCGTCATCTACGCGAATCTGATTCGGAGGCAGAAGCAAAGGCAGCTAGGAGGGGGCGAGGTAGGGGGCGAGGTAAAGGGCGTGGGGGAGAGGAAAGCAAAGGGGGAAGAGGTGGCAAACAGAAGAAGGGCACAGAGAAACCTGAACCTGCACCCAAAGACACCCCCAAGAGATTGAGATCGAAGGCCAAGGTCAAGGACGCAGATCTTGGTACAAACCGTAAAAAGGGTTGTGCAGTGTACAAAAAACCAGCAACGGGCAGAAGTGTCAAGCGGAAGCTTGATTTCGAGCAGAAGAAGGAACGGGAGGTTGAGGGAGAAGAAGGCGATGCAGCTGAAGGGGGGGAAGGGGAGAAACTAGATCCGATGGATGCCCAGCCGAATATTGAAGTTAAGTGTGCGTGTGCATGTTTGCGTGTCTGCGTGCACTCTTCCACGTGTAAGTAAGGAAGATGCCATGGTCCACCTCATGAGTATTTCTGAAACGGATACTGATATGGTCTTGCACTGCGATGAACCGAACGAATTTGTCCTCCACTTCAATGCTGGCATGCCCCTGCCACGGAAGCATCGGCCTCAATTGCCATGTCCGGTGAAGTTTAAGACCCAACCAAACTGTCTTTGCCTAGTGCCCCTGATCTTCTCAGGTATTTTACCCTGCGGCCTCATGACAACTTGAAGGACCCTGATTCTAATGGAGGAAAATTATCGACTATCGGTGTTCTGTTCCAGACTAAGCTCTGCAAAAAAATGCATGCATGCATGGAAGCTTCTTTGGTTGATCGATGTTCAGTGTGTGTTCACCCTCTGGCGAGGTTAAATACACACGGCTTCTATGTCTCGAAAGTTGATGAAACACGGTTTAAGAACACCAACACTGAGCTCGAATTGGCTGTGAAGGCCCTTTTTGCATTACATGTGCCACACATGTGCATGACCAATGTTCCTCACCGCTGAATTCAGCCCAGCCCTGCTCGACAGATGAATGGGCAGCAGGGCTGCAGTTTGGGATGGAAGAAGTATGGAGGACCCCGAGCAGCGCTGGGAGCTTATGCACCAGCACACGAAACACCTGAGATTTATGAGGCGGACATTTGCGGTGTCATACCTTGGGCCCATCCATCTAAGGTGGACTCTGGCCAAGTATATCGCTGGATGGGCGCAGATTCCGAAGGATGAGGATTAGTTGTGTCCGACCAATCAAGTCTAAAACTTCTTTCGACCTAGGACTTTTTGATCGGTTCAGCAGGTTCGCAATTTTGGAATAGGGGCCCAGCATTTGTGGCTGTGCATCTTATATCCCTAGAACAGGATCTGTGTGATATATATAACTATAGTATATTTCGAGCTAAATCTTCGATGGACTGTTGGGCCTCTAGGGATTGCTAGCAAAACCTGCTCAGCACTCCTCTGAGAACATCGATGAGGAAAATCATGCTTGCTCGGCTTGCTCCTTTTTTTTTACGCATGCATGGCCGTGCAACGGATCATCATTGATTAGATTAATACTGGCAAGCGGCAAGCACCCATGACACAAACGCACCCGAAAAGGCCTTTGTATATATGT